GGGATGCATGTGCACACATGAATGCACGTGTGCAAATAATAGCAGCTATTCACTCCGTAGGGCAGGAGCAAATGGGTCACCCTGCCAAAGGACACAATTCAAAGTCTTCCATAGACGCAAGGAGGTAGTATTTAAGTCTTCAGAACAATACTGTAGTGCTCATTTTCCACCTCATCATGAAGCAAGGAATTACAGTCTTCACTAGCTGGTGTTTCTAAATGGGTTTCAGCTCTGAAAGCACACATGGAACATTTTCCTTAAAGTTACCAGGAGTGTCTTACTCTAATGTTTTAGAATCATCTTAGATGAGTTCAGTTTCCAGCTTGCATGAGAGTTAATTTTCTCTCTTTCTGTACAAGTTTTACACCAAGCTACTGTCACAACGCATGTGAATGATTCATGATGATCTGTCCCATGTGGTCTCCTGCTATAGGCAACTGAAGGAGAAAAAACAAACAAACAAACCAAAAAAACCCCAAAACACGCACAACACCACAACAAGGACAAAAAAACCCCACACTTCCTTTTCTTTAGAACATTATTTATTGTTGCTACTCACCTTTAGTGAAAGAAAAGACAAAAGCCACACCACAATGGAATATATAATTCCACAGGTGTCCTAATCAAACCAAAACTAAACATGAGCTATTGTTGTTTTAGTGTTAAAACTAGCAAGCTCATATTGCAAATCCAAGTAGCAAATCACTGGAGGAAAAGTTATTAAAAAAGAAAAGCTGCTTATGTTAATTCAACAAAGAAAATCTGCCTGGCAGACAAGAAGAGCTTAGAAGCAAATGCATTTAAAATATGTATCTATTTCTTGGTGTTCCCCAGAGCACTCAAATACAGCTAGTATGCATGCTTATCCATTCGGTCTTAAGGATTAAAGAAATTATCGGTCATGTTGACTAAATCCAGGGAAGACACAGTGGTCTTTAAAAACAAAAACCCATGCACATCCACCAAGTTTTATGGATGAAGCTCCAGAATTAGAGAAAAGAGACCTTACTTCTGCCCTCTTTGAAAGGCAGGTGTGGTGGGTTGACCCTGGCTGGACACCAGGTGCCCACCAAAGCTGTTCTATCACTCCCCCCCCTTTCTCAGCTGGACAGGGGACAGAAAATATAACAAAGGGCTCATGGGTCAAGATAAGGACAGGAGAGATCACTCACCAATTACCATCATGGGCAAAACAGACTCAACTTGGGGAAAATTAACTCAATTTATTACCAATCAATCAGAGTAGGGTAACAAGAAATAACCCCAAATCTCAAAACACCTTCCCTCCACCCCTCCCTTCTTCCCAGGCACAACTTCACTCCCATATTCTCTACCTACCCACCCGCAGCGGCGCAGGGGGATGGGGATGGGGTTTACAGTCAGTTCATCACACCTTATCTCCGCTGCTTCATCCTCCTCAGGGGCAGGACTCCTCACACTCTTCCCCTGCTCCGGCGCGGGGTCCCTCCCATAGGAGACAGTTCTCCACGAACTTCTCCAATGTGGGTCCTTCCCAAGGGCTGCAGCTCTTCACGAACTGCTCCAGGGTGGGTCCCTTCCATGGGCTGCAGTCCTTCAGGCACAGAATGCTCTGGTGTGGGTCCCCCGCAGGGTCACAAATCCTGCCAGAAAACCTGCTCCAGCGTGGGCTCCTCTCTCCATGGGACCACAGGTCCTGCCAGAAGCCTGCTTCCTGCAGGGTCACAGCCTCCTTTGGGCATCCGCCTGCTCCAGCGTGGGGTCCTCCCTGGGCTGCAGGTGGATATCTGCTCCACTGTGGACCTCCATGGGCTGCAGTGGACAGCCTGCCTCACCATGATCTTCCCCACAGGCTGCAGGGGAATCTCTGCTCCAGCGCCTGGAGCACCTCCTCCCCCTCCTTCTTCACTGACCTTGGTGTCTGCAGGGTTGTTTCTCTTACATGCTCTCACTCCTCTCTCTGGCTGCTGTTTCTGTGCCCACTGCAACTTTTTTTCCTTCTTAAATATGTTATCAGAGGCGCTACTACTATCGCTGATGGGCTCGGGCTCGGCCTCGGCCAGCAGCAGGTCTGTCTTGGAGCTGGCTGGCATTTGCTCTGTCAGACGCAGGGGAAGCTTCCAGCAGCTTCTTACTGAAGCCACCCCTGTAACCCCTGCTACGAAAACCTTGGCACACAAACCCAATACAGCAGGATACAGCAAAAATTAAAAGCCCATTGGGCCTCAGAAGAACCCCTTTGTTCTGGAAAACCCAAAATAGGGAAAAAGGTTCAGCCAAAGCTTATCATGAGGCACCAAAAGCCAATGATGAGAAAACCCATCCATTAGAAACCAGGCTCTATCTGTATTGCTGCTCACTCTCTACTGAGTGTCAGGTGAAGAAGACATAACCAACATCTCAGGTTTTCCCCCTCACTCCCACAAATTCTTTTAACAAGTTTATCTCTGTGTTGCAGGAACTTGTTAAGAGAAAGTAGGCTGTGCCAATATTCAGGTTTTCATTAATTTAATTTCTTCTCAGACCTGAGTGGGTAACCAAGAGACTTAGAGTGAATCCCACATCCTTTCAAGAATTTATTTTACTTCTTCTTATCTTTTCTCCTAATTTAGATCAAACTTTTTAGAAAAGCCTTCAGTAATGACACATTAACCCCTGTATTTGACATTAGCACACATTTAAGGAACAACTGCAGCATATTTCATGGTAGTCATATTGAGAATAGTTACATAGCTATTTTTATATACTTACCATTGTAGACATACTACATTGAGACACTTAAAAAAGACACCAAAAAAAAATCAGACACAACATGAGTAGACACTGTAAGACTTTTAGGTGTGTTGTTTGCTATTGAATAAATATTCAAGGATTTCCAACTCTTAACTATAATATTATCACAGAATGCTTTTATTTTTTCTGAAATGATAAAATTAAGATAGCTGTTTCCAAGTCACAGGTTGTTTTTTTATTTTAAAGCAGGGATTTCCAATGTAACCGCACAGAACCAAAAACTTTATGAATAGTGGTATTTAGTAATCTCTTACAACATCCTGCTGTGACTACGTAAATTTCCATTTAGGTGTTGCTGCTTGATTACCTTACAAAGAATAGCACAACTATGGTAGCAAAATTGTGATAATCGACCTGAATGAAAACATAGCAAGCACAGTGCAGGATAGTCACAGACACCTGATTCTTCTTCATGAAAGGGGTTGTGATAAATGCACTTTCACAGTTGTGCATCCTTCTACTTACCACTGATAAGTGCTAAAAGGTGGTGAGTTTGTTTTAAATACATATAGATACCATTTTGATTGTCTTGTACTTTTAAGATATGAATTATTGTGCTGAATAATGCATTCATTACTACAAGCCTCATGAGCACATTGCTTATTTCATAAGATTGTCTAGTGAATCTGAGAATTGCTTCCCTTCTTTGATGAGAGAAACCAGAGACATGTAAGGTATTAAGAATTTCTTTAAGAGTTTTTTTTTATTTGTAATCAGACCTGCATCACACCTGTAATAACTTCTACAGTCTGTATTTTCTCCAGAAAATATAATCTGTCAGTGAAGATACCAAAAATACCTGCTTTCACCATGTAGTAAGCATATAACAAGCCAAGGGTAAAGTTTTCTTTTGTGCATTTCTCTCACATGCGGTACAGATCTCAACTGCACGTTCTGGATGCAAGTGGTGTGCAGAACATCCTTTGTCAATAGGAGATACTAAATGCATGCCTTAATTTAAGTATATATACTATAGATAGGAGATGCATTATTTGCCTCTCAGGGAAAACTACACTATTTAAGCTACAGTATTTGTTTTTCCTCAATAGGAGACAATAGAAAACTTCCTCAAGGCTCTGTTAGGCTTCCTACCATTTTTATCTTTCCAGGATACTAGACTTCTGACAGCACTGCAAATGATGGGCATGATTTAATGGTTGAATAATAGTGTGTCTAAAAGGGCTAGGACAGTAAAGGGATATTGTAGAAGAGCATAGTGGGAGGAGGAGGGGAATAGGCTCATATGAAGCAGTGGCAAAAACCTGGATTCACTGGCTTTTGAAATTCCTCTGTTTCTAACATGATGACTTAAAAAAAATTGGACATGCAAACAAGTTTCCAAACTACATTAAGATTATTAAAATAATCACCATGAACATAAAAAGAGACATATTGCTAATTTCTGGGGGCAAAAAGCATTAAAAAAACCCAGAATAATCCCAAAGAAATGGGGATTTTGCTCTTCTATAGCTCTCCTTCCTACAGCACTGTAGGTGAGTCTGTGGCAAACACCATTTTGCACCAGAGTCTCTTCAACAGGCTTGCTCTCTCTCATCCACTAGACTTGCCTAACCACCAGCCTCAGAATTGAACCTTTACTCATGATCAGTTTTCTAAGGCTCTCAGAAAGCACAGTTACAAAGAGTGCTTAGAAAATAACTACCTCCCAACCAAAGATCAACTGATGAAAAAGCTAATGGTAAAAAAATTGCTATTATGACAAACACACATGTGCCTCAAAACCCAACTACTTCTACCTTTCAAAGTTTGCTTGGCTAGAAAAATTCACCCAGTGTCTATAGAAGTGAACCAACTGTGTACTTGAAATCCAAGTCAATTTTCATTATTAGAGGATTTAGAACAACTTTAATCATGTCAAATTCTTCCTTGCATTTTTAAGTGAAAGAAAATTGAGCTAAATCATTATCTGGTATGAGTCAGTGCTGTTAAATTAAAAAAAAAAAATGGAACCAAGCAGATTTCAAAGGCTTAATATTACAGTACATGGCTATTCATGACTAAGCCTCTGGCCATGAGAAAGAATCCTGAAATTGTTTAACACAAGCAGTAGGACACAGTAAGTAATAGCCAATTACTTAAAATAAAGTCTCTTTAAGAATCATCTAACTGAGTAGAAAAGCAATGACAAAAGTTTGTCTCCTTCTTTGCAGATCCTGTGCATCTGCTTCTCTATATTTCTAGGTATATTACTACAAGAATTCAGTTGAAGCAGAGCTACAAGCCATTTCTAGAATTAAATATACTGTTATTCATTTCAGATGTGTAATAGTGCAATCATCATTACAGTAAGGGAGCATAAAAGTGAAAGCTACATTTAGTTAATTTGTATTTTCAGCAACATCATGGATTTTTTCAGCTTTATAGAGCAGTTAAAAGATAAGTTCTGTATTACCAGCTTAAAGCAGTGCTATTTGAGGTGAATCTATGTAACAATTGCAAATATCTAAAATCACTTTATACCCAGCAGGTGAGAAATATCTATGATGACAGAATTCAGACACAGTATATTTCCATCCTTCAGGATATTAATAAATTCAAAACCTTTTTTAAAAGCCACTCAAGTCTTCACTTTCTGTAAATCAAGGCCCAGCAAAGTTGCAAAACTGAAGGAAAAGCTGGCAAACTCTATATCAGCACATCAGTTTCTCTTCTTTCAATATTAAGAAAATTAAAAAGAATAGTTGAGGCACAAGTGATTTTTATGCAGAAGTATAGAAGTATTTCAAATAAGTAGACTAAAACTTCAGTACTTCTTTTAACTTCTTTAAAAAAAAGACATAGATCATAGGTCTATGATCAGAGTCATAGATCACAGTCACTGCAGTCTTACTGGATTGCTTTTTTTTTTTTCCCAAGATGAAAAAAGAAATTGGTTCACAGAACTTACCAAATCCACTTTATACTGCTACTTCACATAGTCCATGTTTAATCAAAGCAAAGTACAAACACGTGCTTCAAGGCAGCCTGAAAGCATTCTGCTACACTCAACAGTAAACTATTTCTTCAGTGAAGACAGCTTCAGTGAACCCCGTAACTTAAAGAAGAGTCCATCCAGCTGAACTGACATAAACATTGCACGCAGAACTTACATGAAAGTGCACTGGCAGCAAGCTTTTGAGAAAGTCCATACCATAAGAGCTTGTGCTTGAAACTACTTTTATAGCTATGGTTATTGTTTCTGTTAAGAGGCACTGCATAAATATGGAGTTAGTAATCTAATGCACTTAATATTTCTCAGCTGAGGACTATTGCAGCTTTACCCTATGTCTAGGTGTGATTATACTTTGGTTTGCTTTACAACAGTAACATTGCACTAGCAATACAGCTGATACTAAAGAGAAGGCTGAAAACACTGCAGACTGGAGGATTGAAAAAAACCAATCCACTCCTTTACTTCTTTTCATGCTTCTTCGTTAATTTTCCTCTTTCTAGTTGGAGGCTTGTACTGCTGTTTGTTCGTTTCTCCTTTTGCTGGCTCTCCTGTGAAACTTGCTGCACTGCTCGGAGGATAGCAGTCTGCACAATCTGCTTGCTGGCATTCTGCAGCTTAACTTCATCTTGCTCCGTCCCTGGCTTCTCACCTGCCAGAACCAAACGACAAAGAAAGGGAACTAAGCATCTGTGAACACCTGAAGGATAGAAAAAAAGGAGGAAAAAAAAAAACCCCAGAGTGCTTAGGAACAGCTTATTGCATAAGAAACCTGCTAATACAGAAGATGATGAAGTAGGGTGGAAAGTGCCTCTGTGTGCTCAGCGCTACAGGACTGAATGAAGGGGGAGACTTTGGACAGCTGTGGCTTCACAGCTGAAACAAGCACAGCTGCATTTTGCAGCAAGACAGGGAAGGAGTGTTTTCCATCCAGTTGTGAATCGCATCCTTTTTGACTTCAGGTGCGCTTCTGGATGGGGAACTGGACTTCATTTTGCAAGCCTGACATGTTCTCCCTCACCACCATACAGAGAAAAAACCGTTTCATTAACATTTCTATTTACTTTTACTTCAGATTAAAAGCCCTCATCCATCAAATTCCAATTTGACTTCAAGGTACAAAATTTTGTTAAATGTCAGTTTATTAATCCTTAGCTACATTTGCAAAAATATTTGCAAAAGCATTACAAAATGCTCAGTTTGCTATAGGTAAAATAGAAAAAAAACCCCTGAATCCCAACATTCTCTATAGCAACCTGACAAATATGTATTTCTTATGTCATACTTCCTTGTTTTGCCAAAGTGCTAAAATCTGGAGAAGAACAAAGTAATGTGAATACTGACATTTGATAATGAAGAATAGTTTAAGAGGTTTCTCTTTGGAAGTAATTCCTAACACAAATGACAATTTGGCAGGACTATAAAGCATGCTGTGTAATGTTCAAAGTTGATCTTGATATAAAAAAAAGTAATTCTGAATTAAGGTGGTGTAAGGTGATGTATTGGCATTTAGGAAAATGTAGTCATGGTTGCTAATTGAAATGCTTAGGCTAGGGGCTTATTTACATCACTAGATTTGATTTGAAAGATTTTTAAGATAATCATAGTTCTTTCTCAATTGGCTGCTGTGCTCAAGTATTTCATTAAACAGGATTTGTATTTTGCTATCTGTTTTAAAGCCATGTATTAAGAATTATGTCCTGAGAGAAATAAAACAGAGGTCAGCTGCTTTTATAGACATCCACATGTAGAATTGTGAGAAATTCCCAAAGTTCTTTAAGAATTTTTTGCAAGGAAATTTAAGATAGAGACAAAAAGTAGAATCACTTGTTTACCTTAAAGAAGACACTACTAAGATCTGATAAACTTGAGGGAAGGGACAAGGTCCTGCACCTGGGTCAAAGCAATCCCCAATGTCAATGCAGACTGGGTGGTGAATGTATTGACAGCAGCTTTGTGAAGAAGGACTTGGGGATACTGGTAGATGAAAAACTGGGTATGAGCTGGCAATGTGTGCTTGCAGCCCAGAAAACCAACAGTATCCTGGGCTGCTTCAAAAGAAGTGTGACCAGCAGGTCAAGGGAGGCGATTCTCCCCTCTACTCTGCTCTGGTGAGACCCCACCTGGAGTGCTGCATCCAGCTCTGGGGTCCTCAGCACAGGGAAGACATGGGCCTGTTGGAGCGGGTCCAGAGGAGGGCCACAAAAATGATCAGAGGGATGGAACACCTCTCCTATGAGGACAGGCTGAGAGCGTTGGGGTTGTTCAGCCCAGAGAAGAGAAGGCTCCAGGGAGACCTTACTGCAGCCTTTCAATATATAAAAGGGGCTTATAAAAAAGATGGAGAGAGACTTTTTACCAGGGCCTGTAGCAACAGGACAAGGCGCAACGGTTTTAAACTGAAAGAGGGTACATTTAGATTGGACATAAGGACGAAATTTTTTTTATGATGAGGGTGGTGAGACACTCGAGCAGGTTGCCCAGAGAAGTGGATGCCCCGTCATTGGAAGTGTTCAAGGTCAGGCTGGATGGGGTTTTGAGCAACCTGGTCTAGTGAAAGATGTCCATGCTCACGGCAGGAGGGTTGGACTAGATGATCTTTAAAGGTCCCTTCTGACCCAAACCATTCTGTGGTTCTGTGATTCCATGATCTGTGAGCCCAAAACAACCAACAGCAAAATGATCAAAGCTTACTCTATGAGAAAGAAATAATTCATTATTTCCCATGTTTATTTGAAAGGACTTCAGAAAACATACTTACTTCTATCATGTTCATATTATACATGTTCTGGCTAAAAGTAAAATAATAAATGTGGTTTAATTCTACTGAAATTGAATAATTTTTTAAAAAACCTGCAACTGTACTGAGATGACAAAGTTTGTCTACAATGAAGAGGTTAAAACCATGAAAACTTAGAAAACATGCTTTAAGCTGGAAAAGCTGACTGAATGGAATCACTTGAATTCTTGGCACAGTCAGCTTCCCTGATTCAGGTTGCTCCACACCTCAGCACTTGAAACAGTCGGGGTTTTTGATAAAATTCAATGTTAATTAACAGTAAAATACAGATATTTCTTTATTACTCAAATATGAACTTACTTTGTATTACACAATGAATTAGTCTTCTTGCTGGGCTGAGAAAGATCAGCCAACTCAGCTAATATTCAGAAAATAATATATTAACAAAAGCATGAATAAACATGAAATCGTAAATACAAATGAGTATGCTGGACTGGACTCTGAGGTTACATGAAATGTGAAAAATTTGCCAACCCCTATAGCCATAAAAAAACCCAGAATTTATTGTTAAAACCATACTGACATTAAGCACATTGTTGTTGAAAATTACTCAGTTTTCTTTCCTTAGGAATGCTTTATTATTTATGTGGTTCTTGCCACTTAATCTACAAAATCTGTACTTTAAATATTTTTACATTGGGAATGCCATCCACAGTAACACCCAGCTGAAAAAAGCAGTTTTCCAGTGAATTTCTACCTGAGTTTTTCAGTTGTTTATCTTGGAGCAAAGCCTGCCTGAAAGCACCACTCAGATAAGTGAGACCTAGATTATGTCTGCCCAGCTCTAACTCATTAGGTGATTATTCTATTTGCTGGGAAAACAAACCAAGAACAGAGAACCCCAAACCTCTGGCCTACTTCTGCCCTGCCTGATGGTTTAGGTATGCACAGAAAGGAAATAAGGCAGCTCAAACTCTTAAGAATTTTACATTTGTGTAACACAGGGTGATAGTAACCCAGGTAACAACAGCTAACTGGCTTTGGAAACAGACGGAGTCAAAGCTGTTGGCCTGGGGTGATGTGAACAATGAGAACATTGGCAGCTTATGCTGACCATCTAAATTAGAAGCAAGAGTGAAAATAATAGCCCTTTTTGAGGGGGATATCTGACACTATGTAGAGGTCTGAGCCTGTGCTGGGACAGTTACACATAGTAGCTGGGCTGCCAGCCAGGATCCAGACATGTCAAGCAGTCAGACGTGAGCGTCCAGCTCCCCTGGGTGTCTGGTGTCCATCACAGCTGCCCCATCTGGACATGATCCTGGGCAAATGGTTCTAGGTGACCCTGCCTGAGCAGGAGTTGGACAAGATGACCTTCAGAGGTCCCTTCCAACCTCGAGCCTTCTGCCTTCTTGTGATTCTAGCTGGTGAGGCTGCCATAAAACCCAACTTTTCCACTTCCTGAAGGAGTAAACAGCAGTCTCTGGAAAAGCATTCCCACTCCATCCTCTTCTTCCAATTATTCATTTCAAGGAAAGCAGTTAGCACAAAGCTGTTTTCTGAGAAGCTCATTTATTGATATGCTGGACCTAGTCTGAGCAAGAGAGAGATTGACCAAGGAAAGCAGAGATGATTCATGCAAGGATACCAAAGGGGCTGAGCTGGAACATATCTATCAAACTGCTCCACCTTGCTGAAATACAGACTGCTGTGGATATAAACAAAGGCAGAAATTTGAGTGCCTATAGAATTAATCAGGCATTTTAAGAACTGCATCTTTTCAATTTGGTAAAACAGAGACATTGCTCTTGTTGTCTAAGTATTCAGTGTTTAGCTAATCAAAATAAGAGTTACTAGGGTGATAAGATAAAAATTAATTGTATCTATGATTTTTTTAAGATTTGAAGAATAACTAGTTTAATTAAAATTCCATGACAAAAGGTCACTTGAAGTAATTGCTGGGAAAAACTTGCAGGATAGCAGAAACAGCATTCTGCCTACTAGTTATCCTTGTCTAATGACTACTTTTTTCTCTTGATGTCAGAATATCTTTTCTACTTATTCTCTCCTGCTTACCTGACTTATACAGGAACCCAGCACCCTAATTCTGTAAATAGAGAATTGAAAAATCCAGGTTAAGTGATGTTAAATCCAAGGCAGCAATTTTATCATTAAGACATAACAAATTCTCTTTAGCATCTTTTTATTACCTTATCTTTCACTTGGTAAGTTTTATGCCAACTAACATAGCAGATGAAAAGTAATTTGCAAACTCCAGCCTGGTTCTGCAATGTAAAGTATACTGTGAGAGATTTAAAAAACTTCAAAATCTTGGACTGACTTCAGGAGTCAGTCACATATTCCACTTTGATCTACAACTAGTGCCGTATATCAGTACCTCAAAATTCCTTTGGCTCGCTTGAAGATGTTCCCCATGAAGGAAAATAGGCTAGTAGTTTGGAAAAAGAATAAAAGCATTTGAGGTAGATTCCAAGTGTTCATTTCAATTACTAGAACTGATATTAGTTTAAGCCCAAGAACATCTTGTGTGGGAGACTTTACATTCTCTGTGATGTTTCCAGACTATGGAATATGCCTAGAAAAGTAAGTATACATGGAAAATTACAGCTACAGAGAAAGAGCATTTAGCACAGATTAAACCTTGAAGAACTTTGCTCTGGTTGTACATGGAGCGTTTCTCATTTACACACTTCACTTCCTTTCCAGCCTGCAATCAAAGTAGTCTCCTGCACTTTCGGTTCATATCCCTCATGCCTTTTCCCTTTCAGCTTGCTACAAGATAAATTTAATATGCCTTATAAACACTCCTACTAAGTAACACTCAACAACAGGTCATTTGTTTGAATCAGCAGTTAAGTTCTCTACTGTATCTTTTCATAGGATTGTTGGGA